ATGTGACCCTGGAGCACAAAACCAGTCATAAGGGTCAATTGTTTGAAATTGTGATTTATACACATAAAAATCACAACAAAAAAAAAAGCTGAACAAATAAGCTTTTATTAATGTATGGTTTGTTAGGATAGAACAATATTTGTCTGAGATACAGCTATTTGAAAATCTGGAATCTGAGGGTGCAAAAAAAACTAAATATTGAGAAAATCATCTTTAAAGTTGTCCAAATGAAGCCTTTAGCAATGCATATTACTAATCAAAAATTACGTTTTAATATATTTACGGTAAGAACTTTACAAAATATTTTCATGGAACATGATCTTTACTTAATATCCTAATGATTTTTGGCATAAAAGAAAAATTATTTTGACCCATACACTGTATTGTTGGCTATTGCTACAAATATACCCCAGCGACTTAACACTGCTTTTGTGCTCCAGGGTCACATATGGCTTTGGAGCAACATGAGGATGAGCAAATGATGACTGAATTTCAATTTTAGCTCAATTATTCCTTGCAATGACCTTAATTCAGTTTTGATGGAAGATATCCTAGGAATGCATGTCATAATTCCCGAGTCTGAACTCATGTGATCACTCACGTTATCTATAGCGATTATTCCTCCTTTCCTGACCAGCTGCAGGGATTTCTCATAGTAGTCGTCGTAGTTCACTTTGTCAGCGTCAATGAAGACAAAATCAAACGTGTCTGCTTCACCAGCGGCCAGAAGCTCGTCTAATAACACACATTATAGAAACATTATAAGCCACGTTCACATTTTCTGCTCAGATCATTTGTTTTTTGAGGTCGTTCACATGCACATGTTTATCTTAACATCCTCAACACATTTCATATTTAATATGAATTTTAATATGACATTTAAAAACTCTTTGGAGTTCCAGATGTCTCCGGACGTCACTGTTTAAAGCAAATCTCACATCAGATCTAATGTACAATCAATATATAAACAAATATAATTTTTTGCACTTTTCAATGTAAATACTCCAAATAGTATAATTATTTAATGACTCATACCAAAGGTAAATTATGTGTGAAATTATGATGAATATCAATTCCACATTAATGTCACTTTATAAAATTGAGATGCACATCCAGTTTATTTCCATTAATAAATGTGACTCAGATCCAAGTTATTAATTAAAACAAAGACCATAAAAACATTGTTGTTACTTGAAATAAAATAAATGTTGATTGAAATAAAATGTTGATACTGAGTTGATATTTTGTTGATAAAGTTGATATTTCTCATTTTCATTTATTTTAACTTGAACTAAAATAACCAAAAACTGAAATAAAAATTAATAAAAACTACAGATATATTTAAAAACAAAAACTGATCATAGTGATAAAAACACAACAAATTTACTAACATTTTAACTAAAATTAAAATAAAAATGTAAAATTTATATAAAATATATTTATTTAAATTTATATTATGAATGAGGGGGGGAAACAAATGTGAATACAGTCTAAAGGTTATTTGGATATAAATAAGTTCAGAATGCTTGAAAAAAAAAAAAAAACAGATCTTACCAAGAGTTTGCAATGCTGGCTTCAGACGCACGTCTATTTTGTGCTCAACACAGGCCTGAGAAGATTTCAGAACATGAGACGAAGATTATTAAACACATGAATAAATCTGTGATTGAGTCTGATTACTGAAAGCAGTGAAGCTGATCACACACGGACAACTGAATCTGGAAATCCCAAAACCTCATAATATATTTGTTTACTCGTATAGCAACAGAATATTTTAATCTGTAGTAAACATCCAAAGCAAATTATATGAACATCAATTTCAGTGACATCCGTCAGAGCAAACTCTGTCAAACTCTGTTAATCTATTATTAATTTATGGGATTGTGGAAAATCCAGGTTTTGCAAACACTCCCTGCACTCTCAGAAAAAAAGGTACAAAAGCTGTCAGTGGGGCGGTACCTTTTCAAAAGGCACACCTTTGTACCTAAAGCAGGGGTAGGCAAGTTCGGTCCTAGAGAGCCGCAGTCCTGCAGAGTTCAGCTCCAACCCTAATCAAACACACCTGAACAAGCTAATCAATGTCTTCAGGATTACTAAGGCTATAGGCTGGTGAGTTTTGTTTTCAGGGTTGGAGCTGAACTCTGCAGGACTGTGGCTCTCTAGGACCGAACTTGCCTACCCCTGACCTAAAGAGTACATAGTACCTAAAGAGTACATATTACTTAAAGACTACATATTAGTACTTTATTAGTACCTAAAGAGTACATATTAGTACTTTATTAGTACCCAAAAAGTACATATTAGTACCTAAAGAGTACATAGTACCTAAAGAGTACATTTTACTTAAAGACTACATATTAGTACTTTATTAGTACCTAAAGAGTACATATTAGTACCCAAGAGTTTTGTTTTCAGGGTTGGAGCTGAACTCTGCAGGACTGTGGCTCTCTAGGACCGAACTTGCCTACCCCTGACCTAAAGAGTACATAGTACCTAAAGAGTACATATTAGTACTTAAAAAGTACATATTAGTACCTAAAGAGTACATATTAGTACCCAAAAAGTACATATTAGTAACTAAAGAGTGCATATTAGTACCTAAAGAGTACATAGTACCTAAAGAGTACATATTACTTAAAGACTACATATTAGTACTTTATTAGTACCTAAAGAGTGCATATTAGTACCTAAAGAGTACATAGTACCTAAAGAGTGCATATTAGTACCTAAAGAGTACATAGTACCTAAAGAGTACATATATTAGTACTTTATTAGTACCTAAAGAGTACATAGTACCTAAAGAGTACATATTAGTACTTTATTAGTACCTAAAGAGTACATAGTACCGAAAGAGTACATATTAGTACTTTATTAGTACCCAAAAAGTACATATTAGTAACTAAAGAGTACATATTAGTACCTAAAGAGTACATAGTACCTAAAGAGTACATATTACTTAAAGACTACATATTAGTACCTAAAGAGTACATATTAGTACTTTATTAGTACCTAAAGAGTACATATATTAGTACCTAAAGAGTACATATATTAGTACTTTATTAGTACCTAAAGAGTACATATATTAGTACTTTATTAGAACCTAAAGAGTACATATTAGTACTTTATTAGTACCTAAAGAGTACATATTAGTACTTAACGAGTACATATTAGTTTAGTACCTAAAGAGTACATATTAGTACCTAAAGAGTACATATTAGTACTTGACTTGACTTGACTTGACTAATAATGAAGTTCTAGTTTAGAAAACATTTGAAGGTTTCAACAAAGAAAAGTAAAGTTGCTTCATGCACAATAGGGCCAGAATGGAGCATAAATAGGGACATAATTAAAGCCCTCGTGTGTTGCTCTCACCAGTTTCCAGAAGGGTCTGCCGATGTTGATGTATTCTTCACTGACGTCGCACGCGATCAGTTTCCCGTCTGCAGGCAGGGTGAGCGCGATACTCAACGCGTTATATCCCGTATAAACACCTGATCACGCACAGATTCATTAGACACGTCGAGGGATTTACAGAATATCTGAGCAACTTACTACAAAAGTCACGTACCAATTTCAATGGCTTTCTTGACCTTGATTAAACTGGCTAAATTTGCCATGAACTGCGACTGCTCACAGGCCACCATGATCATGCTCAACTTGTGCTCCATGGTTTTCTAGAGATGTAAAGAGAAATAATTAAGCACAGTTACTGAAATTAAGTTCATTAAACACAGTTACTGTACAACATAAGACAAATGTTCCCATTTGGGGAAATACAAAAGCAAACAAATTATTCTTCGACATTTATTAGTTGTGATCCCTTTAAACCTCCTTTGGATTTGATCACTATTATCCATCATTATGAACAGAAATATATGTACCTGGCGCAGTTTTTTGAGGGCTGGATGTTCCCTCAGCGAGTGATTGAGGAGGTACTGCATCACTGGATCATCTTTCCTTCCCACGTGACTTTTACCTGACGCCATTCTGAAGAATTTAGATTTGCGTTTGCCTTTAGCAAGAAGAAACCAGAGAAATACTGCATGTTATTAAGACAACACCTAACTTTAATCTTCTACCTGCAGGTGGGATTTCATGCAATTATTATTATTTGTACAATTTTTATTAATTGATTTTTGATAAATGTTTATTATTTATTTGCAATTTCAAAATAAAATAAGCAGTTTATTTCAATTTCACATGCTAATTTTTTTTTTTTACTACTATTATTATTATTACAATTATTTATCTATTTGCAATGTCAACATAACCTGGAGAGGGTTTTTTTGTGCGATACTGCATGCAATTTTTTTATACAATTATTATTAATTATAATATTTATTATTTGCAGTTTCATGCTGTTATTTTTGAGTACTCTGCACATAATAATCAAACATTTTGCATGAAAAGTGTTTTTGAACTTTTCAACAGTATATATAACAATATATTTAAAATAATAATAATAAATAACAATGCACATACAATGCACTTATTATTAGATTTTTGTTATACTTCGTCATATCCTGAATTATATTTAGGTGGGACCTCCATAAAAACAGTTCATGTTTTAATGAACAGTTTCCCATCGAGCTTACTTCTATTAAAAAGACAATAAAACAAGTAAAAAAAACATTATCTTTATTTTAACTCATTAGTTATTTTTTATTTTATTTGTATTATTATTATATATATATATGTGTGTGTGTGTGTGTGTATATATGTGTGTGTGTGTGTATATATATGTGTGTGTGTCTGTGTGTATATGTGTATATGTGTG